GTCTACAAATGGAGGAAAATGCAGTGGGCACCGTTTGTCAAAAGCAAATAATTTGCCATGTTTAAAAACAGTGACCAGAAATCTCATTCCCTAGAGGTATTCCACATTAACTCATCCTTCGTGGCAAAGTTGTTACACCAGTGGCCTGTGCTCGGAAAGTTGTGGGTTTGATTTCTGTTGGATTTATGAGTGCTGATGTTTTAGATGTATCTGAAAAGGTCAGTTCAAGAGTTACATGCGATGCTGTAGGCAGGAAGCAAGCCTATTGCTGAGAGATTAAGACATCTGGGATAAGTCCAGCACAAATTTTAATGTGGAATCGACCCAGAACACTCCCATAAGCGTTCCGTTCCCATCTTCAGCAGCAAACAAAGAGTTCCAATTCTGATGGCACCAGTAACTGTCTGACTATATCCGTCTCGCCTTTCGCTTGAGCGTTGAGCGTCGGCCAGATCCACTGGTGACTCCTGACAGCGCCATTCTTCTCAGACTGTAATGATCGAGCTGTGCCTCCGCACTGTTCACTCACTTCCAAAGGGCCCTGACAACAGCTTGTCATACATCAATACAGTTCACATCAAGTGGTGCGGAATCGGCCATTCTATCTGTCTGCTCATTTCCCAACACACAAGCATAACACTGGCATATGAAGATCAACGTAGACAACAGAAATGATGACATTTTCCAGGAAAGGAAGAACCACCAATATCAAAGCTGATGAACACCAGTTAAGGCAAGGGAAGGATTTTACATATCTGGGAAGCTTCTTTTTCAGAAGACGGGAGAATGAATAAAGAAATCCAACAAAGATGCAAAAAAAAAGCCAGTCAAATGGCACAAATCTTGCAATGCAAGCATGTGAATGTGAACACTAAAAAAAAAAAAAAAAATACCGTTTAACAGTGTATTCTTACCAACGCTCTGCTATCAATGGTGCCATCAGAAGACAGAGGAGAAAATAATCACGACAGAAATGAAATGTTTACGTACCATGCTAGGTGTAACGAGGAAAGATCAACTTAGGAACGATGATATCAGGAGGAGAATCGGCACAGAACCAGTACTGAACTCTATACTTTATACTGACAACAAATCAAATGATTTGGCCATGTAACAAGATCGGTAGCATGTATCAGTTCGTGTGCCGTCACACCTTCATGTCATGCAACAAGACTGTCAAGAATCTTCTCTCGTTGTCTTCCTATATCCCTCCTTCCACAGATCTTTCCAGTGGTCACACCATGTTCTATTTTCCCTCTTCTCATAATATGGCCGAAAAATGATGACTATCTCCTTCTAATGTCTGTGATAAGGTGTCTTCGGGCTCCCGCCTCTTTCAAAACCTTTTGGTTGCTCTTTTTCCAAGGTATTCTAAGCATTCTTCTGTAAAACCACATCTCTAAGGCCTCAACAAATTGTTTGGCCTGCCTACCGATTGTCCAGGTTTCATAGCCATATGTTGAAACTGGATGTATGAAGCAAGCAAGAATTGTTTTTCTAACTCTCAATGACAAGGATATGTTGCACAAGATGTTCTTCATTTGATAAAATGCAGTTTTTGCCTGTCATATTCTGTTTCTTATCTCAATAATGCATTTTCTATCTCATGTTATCCAAGTGCCCAGATACTTAAATTTTTGTACTTGTCCCAAAATAACACCATCGACTTTTATTACTCACTTAGGAATAATTCGTTTCTTTCATACCACCATTATTTCTGTCTTCCCATTATTCAAATTGAGGCCCATTCTTCCACTTTCTAACACCACAATGTCTATCATTTCCTGTAGTTCTTTTTGACTTATTGCTATCAAGTCTGTGTCATCAGCATAACGTAAATTGTTTATATTGTGCCCACCAACCACAATTCCGGGCATATCAATTAAAGATCTCATTATATATTCACTGTATATTGAATATATCTGTAGCATGACAAGGGGAAAATATCCAAACGATGCAGTGTCTAGCGCAGTTAATCCTCTTGCCTTTCACTTTCATAGTTTGATTTAGTTTGATTCATTGCGCTTAGATATCTCTAAAAGGGCTTCAGTCTCCTCGCATATATCACATATGGAGAAGCACTGCATATGATCGATGTCTGACTGCCAACAACCATCCATGTGTGTGTTAACCACTTTGCCCCTTAAAAATCTTTTAAAATTTTCAAGATTTCGTTCAAAATTATAATTTTATTTAATTAAATTATAATGTTATAATTCTTTCAAACTCGACCCTAAGAAACAAGATAAAGAGAACAAACAAGCGAAACAAACTTTATTTTCAGAGAGTTAAAAAGTGGGCACGCAGGCCCTTTTAACATTCTGCTCTTTTAATCTCCCTCCTTTATTTCATCATTTTATTGATACGTCTGTTCACAAGTAATAGTAAACATTATCAACAGCAAGTAAATATTAAATGCCAGCACTGAAATAATACTACCAAAACAGAAGTAAAGCAGGTCATCAGAATTCCTAGTCCGCTACAGATCGTATTGAATGGCACCTGTCTGAAGCTAGTTAGATTAGTTACGTATCCTTTACAGGACGTTGCAGAACTAACCCTAGCAGCCCCTGGATGTTGTGTGGTTTCTCTAGGCAAATTTACGTCCAGCAGTTTGCCGTTGCTTTCCCTAACGGTCGGCTTTTTGATACCACTGTCGAAGCTAACGCAAGGCGCATGGCCCGCAGCTGGGATCGAACCCGGCATCTCGGCATTACGAAGCGTTCTTTTTAAGCAAGTTACAGAATTTAAATATTTAGGAAGTATATGCTCAGAGGATGGAAGAATAGATCGGGAAATGGAAACAAGATGCTACCGAGCCAGTGGACATATATACCAACTGACACCGTTATTGAGAAATCCAAACATAACTGAACGCCAAGAAACAGACTATAAACAGCCTATTCATACTAACACTCTGCTACCAGTGACAGACTTTGACATTATCAAAGGCTAACCTAAAAAAAAAATTTACACCCGTGAAATGAGATGCCTGGGAAAAGAGGCAAACTTAACGATCCGAAAAAAAAGTAAGAAATGTAGGGAAAACACCATGCAGCAAATTCACTGAGAAACAGAAGATCAAATAATTTGGTCATTTAGTAAGAATCCTGCCAGAACAACTACCAATGCAGGCGTTACACATGAAAAGATCTGAAGGGAAAGCAAGAGGCCAACCTAAGAGAATATGGATTGATGACATTAAAGAGCTTCTACATCGACACGGAGTGACAGTAGCCATTGCTGCCCATCAAGCAGGATCGCAAACCGTTCCTCCCCACAACGCTATGTGGATAGCTTTTTTTTAATCATTGTCCCTCTCATTGAACTATTTTGCTGGCTATTTTAAATTTTCAACTGCCAAGACAATTTTTAACTTGTCGAACAGCCCACCCAACCCACAGAAAAGCAGGTGACTTCCGAACCATAGGTCTGTTTTATACAAATGAACAGGCTATCTGAAATTTGTTGCTGTTGGACACAATAACCACACGATGTCGCTGCCAGAGTATCGATTGTGTATTGGCTTGTAAAACTGCACACAAATCCACTTAATGTCCAGAATTGTTTGCGGCGCTCAAATTTAATCCTGAAATTGTCCGCAAACATTAGGATTTTTTGCCAACCCTAATTCATACTGCAGTCAGCTCATTTACTGCAGCCAGCCCATTTACTGCAGCCAGCCCATTTACTGCAGTCAGCCCATTTACTGTAGTCAGCTCATTTACTTCAGTCAGCTCATTTACTTCAGTCAGCTCATTTACTGCAGCCAGCTCATTTACTTCAGTCAGCTCATGTACTGTAGTCAGCTTATTTACTGCAGTCAGCTCATTTACTGCAGTCAGCTCATTTACTGCAAGCAGCTCATTTCCTGCAGTCAGCTCATTTACTGCAGTCAGCTCATTTACTGCAGTCAGCTCATTTACCGCAGTCAGCTCATTTACTGCAGTCAGCTCATTTACTGCAGTCAGCTCATTTCCTGCAGTCAGCTCATTTACTGCAGTCAGCTCATTTACTGCAAGCAGCTCATTTACTGCAGTCAACTCATTTACTGCAGTCAGCTCATTTACCGCAGTCAGCTCATTTACCGCAGTCAGCTCATTTACTGCAGTCAGCTCATTTCCTGCAGTCAGCTCATTTACTGCAGTCAGCTCATTTACTGCAAGCAGCTCATTTACTGCAGTCAACTCATTTACTGCAGTCAGCGCATGTCGATATGTGTTATCAAAACTGCCATTAGTAACCGTATTTACCATTTTGAGCCTCTGGATGTAGGCCCCAATGGCTAAGGCTGTCGCCACAAACTGTACAGGTTATAATTTAAATTCTGCCTCCTATCCCCCCCCCCCCCCCCCCCTTTCAAACCTGGGTCTCTCACATTCTCACATAAGAGCCCTGGATTCTTAACCGTTGAACCACCCGCACCACAGTGCTAGAATCACTTGGATATAATCTTCCTCTTCTTCTTTTCTGGGCTTCCTATGAACAAATGCGGTTGGCCTGTTGTATTGTGGTTTACCGCGTGGCTGCAATAGCCACGCCTTTCGGTCTAACACATTCGATTTCAGCAAGCCCATAATTAGTCGCTCCATACGACTTACCTTTTCATGGTGAGGGGAGAGGAGGGGGGGGGGGGGCAGTAAGTCTATTTCTCCACCACTCTCCAAAAATTGGGCTCTTAAAAACAAAAAAATAAAGAATAGTATTTTCATTATCACCTCGTGTGGGTTGCGAGGCCGCATTGTAGGGGGGAAACAAGAAAAGACCTTCTGCCTCCCCAACAAGCATGTCGTAAGAGTCAACTATGTAGGGGTTTTCTTCAAAGTCAGAGGCCTGAGAGGCAAGGAACCAACAGCCCGCAAACAAATTAGCCAGTTTTGAAAAATGGATGCTCACGCAACACTCCGGTTCTGGGACGAGACTAAAGTCCAGAAGTGGCCGAACAACAAGAACTTTCCGAGGGAGTTTACAGCCGGTGAACGCGAAGAAGAACAAGATTTTCAGTATCGGTTGTCCGAATCCTTCTTCTTCTTCTGCTGGCGAGCCTCAAGAGTACTACTGGATGCAGCCCCTCGCTTGGCCAACTCTTTCAAGTGTTCATTGAGAAAACTGTCGTAGCTTAAATCCACATAGTGATGATTGTTGTTGTTGTTGCTGCTGTTGATGGAGATGCTGCTACCACTAGGGCTTCTTGTCAGGACGGGCCTGTAGATATTTTTGCCCACTCTAACGAACCTGTTGGTGAAATTATGACTGTTAATAACATCAGGACTTGTCCCGTGTGTGGGAGTAAGAGCACCAGAATGAACCTTGACACCACCTGGGGTCATGACCCCAGATTGAACGTTAACACTGTTTGGGGTCATAGCTTGGTAGTAATGATTACTGTGATGTATCTCACTGGTGACCATATTGTGTTGGTGGGTATTGGATGTCTTGGTAACGCGTCCGTGGATACTTTCATAAGAGCTATCACTATCAATTTTCCTTTGAAGCAGTTGATGCTGACGATTACGTTCTCTCCCATGCGCACCAACATCCAATTTCTTCTGATGACTTGTTTCTTGAAATCCATTTAAGCTAAATCCTGGTATAGGAATAGAAGACAGTTGTGGAGCTCGTATAAAGTCAGCAGAGGAAGTTATCTGGTAGCGATATTCGTTCCTATAATTTGCAGCATGTCTATTAGTATAATTCTCCTCGTGGGATCGAAACCTACTAAGGTTTCCTTTGTATATATGATAGCACTCCATACTTTCCTCCAGGTCGTCATTCTCTCTGCTAGCCCGCTTATTTTGGTACAACCAACTTTGATTTCCCTCGCTGAATTCGTCTAAGCTGTTGACCCTGGCCGGTTGGTGGTATATAAAACTCTCAGTGACTACAGAGGGGTCAACTTTGAGCCGGTCTTTTTTGGAATTGGTTTGTCCTTTTCCACAATGTTTCTTTGTGTTCTTGCCAATGGAATCATCGGATGAGGTCAGCACATGCTCAAAGTATCTCCAGGATTCTTGGGGCTGAGAAAAATATACCTGGTGAAGAGAAAGAATGTATGATTAGGATCATGGATTTCTTTTAAAACTATATTTATAATCGCTTAGCCGATGTAATTAGAATGTTGGTGTTACAGTAGCTATAGCAACAGTTATCTTGTTATTATTAATATTGTTGTTTCAGGTGTTTGTTGTTGTTTTCGTTGTTGTAATAGTGGGAGTTGTTTTTGATGCAGTAGCCATAGTTGTATTATTATTATTATTATTATTTACTGTTGTTTTTGTTGTTGTAATAGTAGTAGTGTCGGCGTCTGTGGCTTAGGCGTGACAAAAGCGCTTTGTAATGCCGGGGTGCCGGGTTTGACCCCAGCTGCGGGCCTTGCGCCTTACGTTGGTTTCGACAGTGGTATCGAGAACCGAACGTCCAGAAGGCAAGAAGGCAAACTTACTGGACGTAAACTTGCCTAGGAAAACCACAACAGCCAAAAAATGCTGGGGTTGGTTCTGCAACGTCCTGTAAAAGATACGCAACTAATCTTATAGTAGCAGTATTAGTTTTTATTATTGTTGTAATAGTAGCAATAGTAATTGTATTATTTTCCACTAGCGTAGTGCAGCGCCTGCACATTTGTTTCAGGTATTTGTTTTCACCCTAATGTAATATAAACTATGTAGTGAGTACCAGGAAGGAGGGACAGGGGCCGACTAACACCAAGATGGGCTCAGAATATAAGTGACTTCTTGGGTATGAAAGTACATGAGGCGGGAGAGCTAGTGAGAGACCGAGTTTCTTTTAGGCAGACCGTGAAGAGAGCGACGTTCAGCAAAGGACCTGCTACACGATGATGATGATGGTGAGTACCATAATTTTTAAATAGATGGCGAGCCTCTGCGCCTTTTTTTTTTTTTTTTTAAATAATAAAAAGCGATGGATCTACCAACCATTGAACAAACCATCTACATAATCATCCTTAATCATTTGAAAAATAAATTAGTGAACCTCACTCTATTTTCTTTTATCCCACCAGGACATCACACAAGAGATAAACACCCGATGACACAAAGTGCCAACATGTAAATAATGATCACACGTGGAGATGTCACAGAAATCACGTTCAGCCATTAGATAATATTTATGGTCGGGAAATTTTGCGGCGCCTGGCAAGAGCCAGAGTAGGGCTTTGAACAACGAAAAATTGAATTCCAAAAAGGGATGACAAGAAATTGAGATTAGTGGAAGCTGCGGAGATGTGATTTTATAGACGAATGATGAGAATACCTAGTAGGGTGGATGAGAATACCTAGTAGGGTGGATGTGAATACCTAGTAGGGTGGATGTGAATACCTAGTAGGGTGGATGTGAATACCTAGTAGGGTGGATGAGAATACCTAGTATGGTGGATGTGAATACCTAGTAGGGTGGATGAGAATACCTAGTAGGGTGGATGTGAATACCTAGTAGGGTGGATGTGAATACCTAGTAGGGTGGATGTGAATACCTAGTAGGGTGGATGAGAATACCTAGTAGGGTGGATGAGAATACCTAGTAGGGTGGATGTGAATACCTAGTAGGGTGGATGTGAATACCTAGTAGGGTGGATGTGAATACCCAGTAGGGTGGATGTGAATACCTAGTAGGGTGGATGTGAATACCTAGTAGGGTGGATGAGAATACCTAGTAGGGTGGATGTGAATACCTAGTAGGGTGGATGAGAATACCTAGTAGGGTGGATGAGAATACCTTATAGGGTGGATGAGAATACCTAGTAGGGTGGATGAGAATACCTAGTAGGGTGGATGAGAATACCTAGTAGGGTGGATAAGAATACCTAGTAGGGTGGATGAGAATACCTAGTAGGGTGGATGAGAATACCTAGTAGGGTGGATGTGAATACCTAGTAGGGTGGATGAAAAAAGCGCACTGACTCATGGAGAAAACTGAGAGCCCACAGCAAAAGGAGATAATCGACATTTTTTGGTCATGTTATGAGAAGGAGATAATCTACATTCTTTGGTCATGTTATGAGAAGGAGATAATCTGCATTCTTTGGTCATGTTATGAGAAGGAGATAATCTACATTCTTTGGTCATGTTATGAGAAGGAGATAATCTAAATTCTTTGGTCATGTTATGAGAAGGAGATAATCTACATTCTTTGGTCATGTTATGAGAAGGAGATAATCTACATTCTTTGGTCATGTTATGAGAAGGAGATAATCTACATTCTTTGGTCATGTTATGAGAAGGAGATAATCTACATTCTTTGGTCATGTTATGAGAAGGAGAAAACCGGAGTACATCGTGACGGTGAGAAAGTTGGAAGGGAAAAGAAACAGAGAAAGAACGAGACAAAAGATGCTGGACAGTCTGAAATAGTAGGGAAAATCGTCTGGGACAAAAGTGATTGAAAGTACACGAGACAGAAGGTTATGATTAGACATGAATTCGAACAAGAAGAAGTAGAACCAAATAATCAGCTAACATCCTAGCAACCACTGCGGTAACCAGTCAACAACCATCCAACTATATAATTAACCGAAGAGTCAACAAAAAATGCAAACAAACCGATAACATATTTTTTAAAGGGGGTGGGGGAAGCCCTCTCTATCCAAAATGGGTATTCAGCACACGGAAGTCACACTTAACCGCCCTCATCTGGATCTACACACCTGTGCATGTCAAAGTAGAAGGAATCAAGGAACGGACCGGTTGGCAAGTATTGCACCACTGCATGCTGGGAAATACATGGGCAGAGCAGATATCATCAACGATATACGGACTAAACTGGCAGGCAGTAACGGATCTCTGATGATAACACGATTGCGTGAACTCGGTAAAACATCTCGGTTCTCTCTTCGAGGTCAAAATAGGAGACATTATAACGACCTTCTCATGCGAACAATCAGTAGAGGTACCTCAGGGTGGCGGCTGCAACAGTTGACTGAGCACGCATGGGATCGCCCAGTGGGCAGTGACGTCGATTGCGATAACATAACATAACACCAAACAATCATGCAAAGACGCGATTATATCGAAAGCTGAATGTTGAGCGCTCCCTCCCCATCTTCAGCAGCAGGTTAAGAGTTCAAATTCTGATGGTACTAGTAACTGTCCGACTGTATATCTGTCTCCTTTCCCTTGAGTGTTGAGCGTCAGCCAGGTCCCTTGGTAACTCCCCCGCCCCCGCAGCACCATTCTCCTCAGTTCGTAATGATCTATTTGTGCCTCCGCACTGTTCACTCGCTCCCTAAGGGCCGTCACAACGTCTAGCTTGTCATGTATCAGTTCACAAACAAGTGGTGCAGAACTGGTCAGTCGATCTATCCGACCGTTTCCCAACACACCGGCATAACCTTGGGAAAAATATATAAAGGATGCTAACCGCCCGGGCCTCTGAAGCGATACATGCCTGTTCAACATACTATGTGAGTCAATTACAATTACATGTGTAATCTGGATCGTCTTCTTCTTCTTCTTTGCATTCACCAGCTGTATACTCTGGCAGAAAGTTCCGGTTGTTCGTCCACTTCTAGACTGCAGTCCTTTTGCAGAACTTGAGTGTTGCGTTTGTATCCGTTTGACAGATCTAACTAGTTTGCATGCAGACTGTTGGTTCCTTGCCTCTCAGGCAGATGCACTCCGACTTTGAAGGAAGCTTCCTGGATCATATAAAGAGATCTTCTAAATCTCTCGCGATCGATCGTCGATATAAAGAAGGCACATAGTCTTATTTGACAATATGAAAAAACAACAATTATATTTATTCTTACGTCTGGATACTGGTTCCCCTGCGGCCTTGACGGGTGCAAGGTCCTGTTGCCATGGTGTCGTTGATGGAAGCCTGCACCCCAGAAATTGTGGTAATGGGTGGGAAAGGGAAAGTAGTGACCAGGGTTGTTTCGCTGCGGCTGTCTGAAAAATCCGTGTTTTAATTAACTAGTTAAAATTCAAAGAAGATGTTGAGAGAGCTTTTGCAAGTTCAGACACGCCCACACATACACCCAGGTATGCCTACAAGCAGGTACTTATACATATGCAACGAAGCTTTATTTATTTATTTATTTATTTCTCATATATGGGATTCAATGGTTATTTTATGAAATAGCACATGATAAATACTGTACTGTTTATATAACTGTATGTTTATCTGTGTTTGCAGTAGTAAACATATATGTCTGTCTGCGTGCTTACCTGCCTACCATCCTGCACACCTATTTATATGCCTGCCTACCCACTAGTTACCTGTCTGCATATCTGCTAACCTACCTGCCTGTCGGCGCAATGTCAACCTACATGCCTGCCTGCCAACAAGCCTACCTGCAAATCTGCCTAATTTCCTACCTGCCTGCCTGCCTGCCTGCCTGCCTGCCTGCCTGCCTGCCTGCCTGCCAACAAGCCTACCTGCAAATCTGCCTAATTTCCTACCTGCCTGCCTGCCAACCTATACCTGCTTGTATAGTTGTCTAATTTCTTACCTGCATGCATACCATCCACCCTACCTACCTGATTACTTATCTGCCTAACTACCTACCTGCCTATCCACCTGCCTACCTACGTAGCCAAATGCTCGATATGGTGATAAATATTATAAATATATCGGCTATCCTCCGAATACCGGTCCTAAATTATCGAGGCCGAAAATATACTCTAAACGGGCCTCAGTCATATGTCAATTTCGGACTTCCGGCGACTACCGCCACCGCCGAGAGTATCTCGGAGTGGGGCTAAACTACATGGCTGGGACCCATGAGCAAAAAAAATAAAGGAAGCTGCATGAGATGCAGCAGCTGCTGCTCGTGACTCCCAGCCATCTAGTTTAACCCCGCTCCGCACCGCGCGTAGCGGCGCGGGAGATACTCTCGGCGGAGGCGGTAGTCGCCGGAAGTTCGCAATTTAAGTCGCCGGAAATCTACAATTTACATGTGACTGAGGCCTTGTTGGGGTATATTTTCGGCCTCGATAATTTGGGACCCTTATTCGGAGGATAGCCCATGTATCTTCTTTTTCACCAGCTGTAAACTCCGGGGGAAAGTTCTGGCTGTTCATCTAATTCTGGACTACAGTCCTATTCCAGAACCTGAGTGTTGCGTGTACATCCGTTTCACAGGTCTGACTCGTTTGCATGCAGACTGTTGTTTCCACCTTCCTCAGGCAGATGCACTCCGACTCTGAAGAAAGGTCCCAATTAGTCGACTCTTACGACGTGCTTTTGGGCAGGCAGTGGGTCTGTTCTTGTCCCCCCCCCCCCCAACGGGACACTGGAACCCACAGGGCGGATAAATATATCAGTCGGGGCACACACACACATACACACACACAATCCCACCCTGCACAGTCTGTGGCGATGGCACCAGCCATATCGCCCTAAGTCATCAAACTCAGGACCTCATTTTCTACATCGCCCTACACATGGTACAATAAGGACATCGAAGACAGTCACAGACACATACATACCCGCGCACACGCACACACACACACACACACACACACACACACACACAACGTAAGAAACAAATGAAACGCATTGCGAACTCTAAGACCAACCCTTCTTTTAGTCGCCTTATACGATATATTTGACAAGAGCTAGCTTCAGGTCGGGATTTCTGCAGCACATATGTGATTGTTTGAAGTATACACAGCTGATTTATTTAGTTAATTAATTAGTTATTTAGCTGGTTAGCTTTCAGTCAGTCAGTCAGTCAGTCAGTCAGTCAGTCAGTCAGTCAGCCAGTCAGTCAGTCAGTTAGTTGTTCAGTCAGTTAGTCAGTCAGTTAGCTAGTTAGTTAGATAGTCAGTCGAGGTTTCAGCATCACCACAGACATATCTACTCCAGTTAAAATAACACAAAATGTGCTTCACTGACTGCCCCATGTTAAAAGTAGTACAAAAATGTCAGTACTAGCAAAGTCTTGAAGCCTGTACGCTCAAAGTACATAATGTATAAAAACAGCTGCCAGATATGCCAACACCAACGGTCCCACACAAGAATTGCACCTCACTTTCACAAAAGCTGACATTACACCAATATAAACAGTAACACTGATTCACTTACCCTTTCTGTATTCTCAACCTGCAAAAAAAAAAAAAAAAAATCAAAGAATAATTATTTGTTGCTTTTCTGGTGAGTTTACGCTGATTAATTTTTGGATAAAATAGATAACTTATTTAGATCGAAATTAGAAAAGACAATCAGCAGAAAAACAGATGAGCAATGCATGCATGAAGTAATTATTTCACTAATTTGCTAAACAATTTAATTATTTAAATGATTAGATGATACATGTTTAGTGCATTTTAATATTAAATATAAAAGTAAATGATCTTTTGCACGCCTTCACGGGTACTGGGCATATAGGGCTAGATCTATAATTTATAGACAATCAGCACTTGGTGGGTCTTCTTCTTCTTCTTCTTCTTCTTCTTCTTCTTCTTCTTCTTCTTCTTCTTCTTCTTCTTCTTCTTCTTCTTCTTCTTCTTCTTCTTCTTCTTCTTCTTCTTCTTCTTCTTCTTCTTCTTCATCTTCTTTTCTTCTTTTCCTCTTTTTTTCTTTTTATTTTCTTCTTTTTTCTTTTTCTTCTTTTTCTTCTTTTTGTTTTCTTCTTTCTTCTTCTTCTTCTTCTTCTTTTTTTTTCTTCTTCTTCTTCTTCTTCTTCTTCTTCTTCTTCTTCTTCTTCTTCTTCTTCTTCTTCTTCTTCTTCTTCTTCTTCTTCTTCTTCTTCTTCTTCTCTAGTCCTGTTTTCCATTTTAACGTAAGGTTTTGAAGTTTGGACATCGGATGCGAGGCTTAGTGTGCGATATTTAAGTGCTGTTATTTACGTCTTTGATTGTTCCATGTATCCATCGCTTGTGTGGTCAACCTCTAGTCTGCTACCATTATGTTTAACTGACAGGACCCTCTCTCTGTGGAGCTTAACGGGCTGACCCAAAGAAAGCCAGATGGGTAAGCAAATAGATGGCCAGTGACGGACAAACTGAGTGGATATGTGTATGTACGAGTGTGTGTAAAAATGGGTGAAAGGACACATGTTTGATGATTTTATTGATAGAAGGATGAATGAATGCATACATGCATGGATTGCAGAATAAACTTAGAAAAACCACTGACCGTCTCCTCAGTGACCAGTACTTGTATGATGACACTACTATCATGATTACGGCCAGAAACGCGAAGGCTGCCAAAGCAATGACTATAGCAATCTCTGTCGACATTCCGGTTCTCTGGGAACATTCAATGCACTATGTTTATGCTGTTCGGGTCGTTAACAAACATATGACATACATTCTGATTAGTACGGAGCTCCCAGTATTGGTTCCACGATTATAATTTTCATCATCATTTAACAGGACCCTCTTAGAAAGTAACAGTCGTCATGATTGGCCTGATAATCTCTTTCTCTCTCTCTCTCTCTCTCTCTCTCTCTCTCTCTCCCTCTCTTTCTCTCACTCTGTGTGTGTGTGTGTGTGTGTGTGTCTCTCTCTCTCTCTCTTTCAAAGCCAATTCTCCAGGCATATATGCTTTCACAGCCAATGTATCTTCAATGTCTTATATCCATGTTTGCCGATGTCTGCCTTTGCCTCGTCTTACGGAAATTATATCCCCCATCACCGTTTCCTCCAGGCCGCCATAACGTTTAGCATGGCCATACCCCCTCAGTTTTCGTGATAGGATGCTGTTTATGAGCCAATTCTCCCCGATGCCCAGATTATTCAGGATATCGGTGTTTTTGTTCTTCCTGGTCCATCGTTTTCTGAGGATTTTCTGCAACATTTCAGTTCAAAAGCTCCGATATTTTAATTCAATTACTGAGTAAGAAATTCATGGCCCACTCATAAGTGCCTCAATCTTACTTCGTATGGAACTGTAAAAAGGGGTGGTGGGTGGTGGGGGGGGGGGGGGGGGGGGGACACAATTTCCCCATAAAAAGCATGTCGTAAAAGGCTCTACAGAGACAATAACCCAAAGTGGATAATACCGGTGAGGATGGCCCTCTCTCTTTTTAACGTATTAATATAAATAAATGAAAATACAGTACATAAAATTTAGGAATCACATTTACGGGTCAATTAAACAACACGCTTTGGTTGCTGTTGAACGAGTTAAGTTGTAATAACATTGGGAACACCATAAAAAACATCCTCGTGTGGGTTCTGGGGCCCTATTATAGGGAAAACAAGAATAGACCCACTGCCTACTCAAAAGCATGTCGTAAGAGTCGACTAATTGGGAGCTTCCTTCGAAGTCGTAGTGCATCTGTCTGAAAGGCAAGTAACCAGCAGTCTGCATACAAATGAGTGAGATCTGTGAAACGGATGCACACTCAACACTCAGGTTCTGGAACAGGACTGCTGTCCAAAAGTGGATGAACAACCAGAACTGTCCGCAAGAGTTTACAGCTGGTGCACACGAAGAAGAAGAATATAAAAAAAAATAAATTAATACTTGAATAATTTAACAGACTCTAGAAATTATCAATAACAGCTTACCACAGTAGAGTAACTTTTGTGGTGGTCTTCTGCGCAAACTACAGGAGGCGGACATTCAGTTAACTGTATTGAATCTGACTGGTTATGACACAAAGAAAGGGTAGTTCCATTAAAGCTAAACTCCGCCTCTTCAGAAGTTTGACAGCGCCATCGTATGATATAATTACCAGCCATTTCACAACGGAACCAAGCCTGGCACGATAATTTACGTCCAGATGACGTTTCTATATAAGGGCATGGGTTTGCAACTCTCCAGCATTCTGGTTGGTGAACACTGGATGGCATCCTAGACGGGGGCGGAGTTTACTAGGAGTTGTGTCATCTACATGCTGTAAAAAAAAATGTGAGAGTAATTAGTAATTAATGATACATTAATCATCAGCAACCAATGTGGCTTATTGTGCCTCATTTGCGGGGTTGGGGATGATGAGGGAGGTGGCGGAGGAGCTGAATGGCTAAATTCGGAGCTAGTAACGAACTCAGGGTCAGCTCCGCCCACCTACACACTAGCTGACTAGTAATTGATGATTGGTCAGGCTGATCTACGGTAGACATGTGCATATTGCACTCTCTCGTGGGACCTAAGTTCAGTGTGTGGGGTAGGGGGTTGGGGTTAGAGAAAGTTGTACATGTTATGTAGTCATTAACGCCGCTCACATTCTGTAATATAGAGCACTCGTGGTCGCCGGTAAACATCGTCAAAACAATACAATGTCATGCTAACCTGACATCCCTGCCACTTAAACTTACGTGTCTCAAAGGTTAACACGCATGAATGAACGTCCAATCAAAGTGTCCGGGTCCGAGACCGACAATCATAAGTGTGTGAGTGGGCGGAGATGGGGCTGAGTTCGTTACGTGTACCCAATATTCCTTAACAGTCAGTCCCTGGATATCATAGCAGTGTAGTCCTAGGTTTGGTAACAGCGTCTGCTATAACTGTAAAGTCCAATGCGGGAGTGGCAATCTCTGTCACATACTCCACATAAAAACGTTGATATTCTATAGAGTGTGTGAGTGGGCGGAGCTGGGGCTGAGTTCGTTACATGTGCCCAATATTCCTTAACAGTCAGTCCCTGGATATCATAGCATTGTAGTCCTAGGTTTGGTAACAACGTCTGCTATAACTGTAAAGTCCAATGCGGGAGTGGTAAGCTCTGTCACATACCCCACATAAAAACGTTGATATTCTATAGAGTGTGTGAGTGGGCGGAGCTGGGGCTGAGTTCGTTACATGTGCCCAATATTCCTTAACAGTCAGTCCCTGGATATCTTAGCATTGTAGTCCTAGGTTTGGTAACAGCGTCTGCTATAACTGTAAAGTCCAATGCGGGAGTGGCAATCTCTGTCACACAGTCCACATAAAAACGTTGATATTTTATCGGTCTGAGGCTGGTTTTCTCTCAAACATCCCCTCCCTATAGCTTGCAGCGTTTGACTTCTTTCAGACTGCGACAGAAGGTATCTCATTGCCTGCCTCCAGAGGAGTCAGTCTGCAGATGATCTCTTCCAAGTATCTGTGTTAATTTCGATATTGTTCAGGTCACGTTTGCATATGTCCTTATAGCATAACTTTAGCCTTTTTACAGATCTGACCTCTGTTACCAGTTTCCCCATACAGCTGATCCTTAACGAAGCCTATTAACAAAGCACGTTGTAAGAGGGGACTAATTAAGTCAAATCGGATGTGCTGACCTGAAAGGCAGGAAAACTAACCGCTAGCAGGAGCATAGAGTCATCAGAGAGGTCCTAGACCTGTACAGAAATAACAACATCTGATACAGTTAGCGACAACAAGCCATACAAAGTGGCATGCCATTGAACTTGGCGCAAATGAAAACCATAATTATAAACAAAGCAGTCTTTGAGCTGGTTTGAACGTGGTCAAATTCTCCAACCTTAATTTCCCCCCAACTCAACAACAACTGACTGGCTTTCTTAACCAGCCATCTCTGTGTGTTATCATGGGATTCATACATCTGTCTTCCACACTGACTGATTGACTGACTGACTGACTGTCTGACTGACTGACTGACTCACTGACCATTTATCTATTTATCTATCTAACCTAACTTACTAACGAACGGTTGGTGAATTGACTGATACATGACAAGGCAGATGTGGTCAAGGCCCTTTGGGAACAAGCAACGGAATTAGTAGAGAAAGATGATTATTATAGCCTGTAGAGAATGAGGCACCTGGGTGTAACTAGAGAGTCTGGTCGGTTCACTACACTCAAAGGAAAGGCAAGACGGACTTTTAACCAGATTGTGACCGGTACCATCAGTTTTGGAACTCTGCGCTGGCTGCTGAAGAAGTGGACGGAGCATACATGGGAATGCGCCGAGTTCTGTGATGTCAATTCTTGATTTAACCCAACTCCTGTGTCCCATTACCGTAACTGTTATATGTTGTCGCATGTTAACTAGTTCAACTGCACATTTAAAGTAAAAAAAAAATAAAAAAAAAGACAGATTAATATAATCTTCCCTTGCTGGTTTCGTGGTTATATTTTAAGAAAGAAGGGGAATAACCCCTCCCCATTAAGTATGTCTTAGGAGGCGACTAAGTAGGTTTGGTTAAAATGCCTTGGATCGAAAGCCGAAAGTATTGCAGCGTAAACAACAACAAAACGTGTAAACTACACTATGCCATTAAAACTAAAGTGTTGGTATTATAAGCTGAAACACATATTTTCAGATGCAAGATACGTGCAATGCCGGCTTATGTGATTTGTCGTATGCGCCAACAGTGAGTTGCAATTCTGGTCTGTCTTATGCATTTTTACGTCGCGTGTGCTAGCTTCAGAATTTGGCTGTGACTGATACGCCGTTTTCACAAGTATTAGAATGGGACAATGAATGACAGTTGGTGTGATCACCATAGGCAAGGAACTGAACAGTAAAGGTGCGACCCGTCCTGTAGTGATGATGTAATCTATACTGACTGACTGACTGACTAACTGACTGACTGACTGACTGACTGACTGACTAGCTAGCTAACTAAATAACTAACTGACCAACTGACTGTCGTACTAACTAATTACCTGCTTAACTAAATAATTAACTAATTTACCTACCAAACAATTAACTAACTAACCAACACACAGACTGACTCACTATCTATCTATTTATCTATCTAACCTAACTTACAATAAAACTAACCAATCAACTAATTAACTATCTACCTACCCTAACTACCTACAGAACAAAGTAACCAACCAACTAACTAACTAACTAACTAACTAACTAACTAACTAACTAACTAACTAACTAACTAACTGACTGACTGACTGACTGAACTGAACTAACCAAACTAACCAACTAACACACTAACCAAACTAACTAACTAACTAACTAACTAACTAACTAACTAACTAACTAACTAACTAACTAACTAACTAACTAACTAACTAACTAACTAACTAACTAACTAACTAACTAACTAACTAACTGACTGACTGACTGACTGACTGACTGACCGACTAACCAACTAACCAACTAACCAACTAACCAACTAACTAACTAACTAACTAACTAACTAACTAACTAACTAACTAACTAACTAACTAACTAACTAACTAACTAACTAACTAACTAACTAACTAACTAACTGACTGACATGGACTGAAACTGACTGACTGACGACTAACCAACTAACTAACTAAAACTAACTAACTAACTAACTAACTAACTAACTAACTAACTAACTAACTAACTAACTAACTAACTAACTAACTAACTAACTAACTAACTAACTAACTAACTAACTAACTAACTAACTAACTAACTAACTCACTGACACACTGACTAACTATCTATCTAGCTAAATAACTAATCAATTAACTACCTATCTACCCTACCTACCTACGTAACAAACTGACTAACTAACTAATGTACCAGCTAACTAACGAACCAGCTAACTAAATAACTAACGAACTAGCTAACTAACTAGTTAGTAGCTAGCTAACTCATTAAGTTACTTTCAGATAAAGGACTTTAACCAGCCAAGCAAACGACAAACAGGGACGCTATTAATTTGATTTGGGAATTACACCAAAAAACACCAGACAGATTTAAAGATGCTCCGTCTCCAGCGGCTAATGGCAGGTTTTAATTTTACTAACCACATCACCCAACGAGTACTGATTGTCTACAAAAACATGGAATTATTTTTACTTATCGTTCTCATCATCATCATCATGAACGACTTCTGTCGTTAAGCGACGTGGGGAGGAATAATTTGCGATCCAGAGCACGTTGGCTGTTACTGGCTATTGTCATGCCGTATGGTTCTAAACCCATTAAATTATGTATCTGAAAATACTGCGCAAATTAAGTAAGTACTCACTTAAACCTATTAATAACAAAAGTAGGTCAGTTAGTCAGGGGGAAAAAAACCAGATGGAAGTATCATTGCTCCTGTTGTAATGGACGTTTATTCCGGCAACGATTTTCGTGAAAGAAAACAAAACGGCGTCAGTCTGACTTAGACCTCGACGGCTTTCACTTTTCCCATTCAGATTTTGAATGTTTTACGTAGTTATAAGTTACCAACGGCCGCTCTTTCTTGGTGGCAAGAATGTTGTCTACAATTTGGCGGGAGGTCCCTGAAAGGTCAAAAGTTATTTTTGCTGCGTCATCGGGGGTTTTCGTGTTGCTGGAAAGAGAAGCAGTGATTTGCATAGACCCACTAGTGTTTTAACCTGGTGGTACTTAACAGTATAGACGCTCGCTGCGGATCGGAAGGTCGTGGGTTCACTCCCTGGCGGAGCCAGACTTTTTAAAAAAATAACCTTGGCTCCCAGGCCGACCCCGCCTTGAGTGGGTACCGGGTGCAGTCCCGGGAAGTAGAGGCGGCCGGCATGATGCTGACCACATGACCCACTTTGTGCCGATTGGTCTATAAAATATAGGTCTAGCCCTATATGCCCTATACGCCTTAAGGCGTGGACAAGGGTCCTTTACTTTTTACTTACTTAACAGTATGCAGTGCCCAGCTCTCTAGCGTAGTTGGCTAAACCGGATTGCGCGGTGACCGGGTGACGAACTCCTTGTGGTCCGGGCTCACTCCCATGGGTAGGCAGAAAAGCCACATTTCTCCCAGATTTACGGTATTTACAATGGAATCAAGGCCGAAAGGTTGCGATATCCATAATACCGAGCCTAAGGGTTAACAACTCATGGCTTCTAGATATTAAAACAAACAACAACAGTATGCAATACCGGTACCTGTTTTTAGGCATATTTTCCCCAGCGAAACTATAATAGGTACTGTATATGGAG